CAATGTAATTATAAATTACAATGTAATAAATGTACACATTATTCTTACAATTTATGAAAACTAGTAAATTGCGATTGACAAAGTAGTGATTTTTTTTCTAAAAAGTAATGATTCTTTTTTGAAAAAGTATCGATTCACTTTCGAAAAAGTAACGATTCGTTTTTGTAAAAGTAGCGATTCATTTTTGAAAAAGGAAAAAGTAACGATTCTTTTTGTAAAAGTATATCAATTCTTTTTTGAAAAAAGCAGCGATTCTTTTTGAAAACGTTTAGATTCTTTTTTTTTTTAAGTATCGATTCTTTTAGAAAAGTAGCAATTCATTTTTGAAAAAGTAACGATTCATTTTTGAAAAAGTAGCGATTTAACTGAATTTGTAAGTCAGCTACAATGTTTAATTCTAAATTAAAATTAAAACTAAAACACATAAAAACTGATTTTGCACGGGCATTGCACTAGTTTTCATAAATGGACATTTCACCCTCTCCGTTTTGAAAAATAACATCATGCACACCTGTCAGTTTTCAGAAAAGTGTTCGTTTACACGAACCCGTGATTATGCCGACGTTAGCCAATCGAACGAATCGATTTGCAAGGTCGCACTTTTGACGCAGGTGCAAGTTCTGTCGCATACTGTGACATCGGCTGCCTAAAAGTCAGTTTTCTCAGTTTACATGCAAACGAAATTTTCCAAATAATTGCCATAATCCGGCTTGTTTTGTGTATTTTATACAAATGTTCATTAACATGCTTTGTCCCAATAAAAAAAAAATTGTTTATGTTAAATGTTTCAATGTTTATGTGCTTGCTTGTACTTTTCAGGAGCACCCACACACACATCAACACGTCCCCTCACATGGATGCACTGGCACCATCCGGATATCCGGATAAATTAAGCCCTTCTCTTGTACCTGTTGCCATAGAAACTCTCATTAAGAGCCGGGAGACATGAAACATTTGCGTGTGTTCAGACTCCTCAGAGGATGGTTTGGGTCAGTGTGTGCATCTTATCAATATGCTCAATATTATTGGCACTCTTGATCTTTCTAATTACATATGACTATTCAGATCGACAAGTTTGTTTGCCGTTTAAAACATGGCAAGCCACATACATTTCCATTAAATGGAAAGTCTTAAAGGTCAGAGAAGAAAGAGACAGAGGTAAAAAAAGTTTTTTTTGGTATTAGGGATTTACTTTGTAAATGTTAGCATCAAATGTCAGTGTGACTAAATCAGTGAGCAAAGAGAGAGAAATTACTTTTATTTTACGGTTTATTTTGAGCACAAGTGCACTGCCAAAAAGTGAAACTTGTATTTATCTGTTAATCTTTGTAAAAAAAAAAAAGTTAAATGATAAAAGCTTTTACTTTCTGCATGAGCCATTCCTTTAAGGGATAGTTCACCCAAAAATGTAAATTCTGTCATTTACTCGCCCTCATGTCTTTCTAATCCCGTAAGACGTTCGTTCATCTTCAGAACACAAATGAAGATCTTTTTGATGAAATCTGAGAGCTTTCTGTCCCTCCATTGACAGCTACACATCTACCACTTTAATGCTTCAAAAAGTTCATAAAGAGATCTGTTGTGGTGGAAATAATTCTATTCGAAAAGCTAGGAGGAAGGAGACAAGTGGAAACCCCTTAAAAGTCAAATTATCAAATGTTTATTTCTTGCAAGAAGTAAAATTGGCATTCAAATACAGACAGCATCTATATGAGAAGGCACCGGGCTGGTCTCTTTCGCCAACTTATATACCCTAAACACATCCTGTGTAGGCTGCATCTGTTTCAGAAGATTGCCTTTGTTACCTTAAAAGGAAACGTGTTTGTTCAAGATCTCTTGTCTAACATAAATTGATCTAGACAGAACAATGACTTTATCTTCGTTAAAGTTTCCTGTTCTTAGCTGGTGTTCGAATTCCCACTTCTTGCCTCTCTTGTTTGATCAAAAGCTGCACACATACATTTCACACTTGAAGTACACAATAGGTTACTTGGAGTACACATAGTCCCTTTGCTACTTGGTTTTCTGTCACACATAGCCTACATTTTGTTCCAGAAAGCTTATCTTAACTTATGCATTTCTAACAGCTTGGTTATATCTTTAATAATGTCCTTCAGCTTATATGAACATCTTCCTTTAAATGCTTATGAGTACATAAATCTTCAACGTTAATAAAAAGTTGCACACATCTAAAAGATAAAAGAACACATCTAAAAGTAGAAAATACATCTAAATGTAAAATTTACATTACAGATCGTAAAACTAATCCATATGAATTGAGCGGTTTTGTCAAAACATTTCTGAAGAGACTCGATCGCTTTATTTTATGAACAGATTGAATTTAGGCTTTTATTTAGAAACAAACATTCAACAACTCACACATCAGTTGTGGTAAACTGAAGCTCAAGCATGTTCACTTGACGTGTGAGAACCAATGAGGTTCATTCTCGTGTTACGCATCACTTTGAGCTTCTGCAAGAACCAATGAGGTTCATTCTCGTGTTACGCATCACTTTGAGCTTCTGCAAGAACCAATGAGGTTCATTCTCGTGTTACGCATCACTTTGAGCTTCAGCAAGAACCAATGATGTTCATGTTCATTTTTGGGTGAACAATCCCTTTAAGCTCCAAAAAATGCAACATTACATTATTGTGATATTGTGATATGGGCAATAGGTCAGCACACAAAACTTTTTTCAATTTGATAGACATCACAAAAAAAAAAAAAAAAAAAAAAAAAAAGGCTCCAAAATTTTTATTTTATTTTTTACTTTGTTTTCACTGATAAATCCTCAATAACTGCTTAACGTTGTCAAATGTCATTTGCATCACGACTCAAAAGGATGTGTGAGTGCAACATTTTCAGTAACTATAGCTTCAATTTCAATTTGTTCCACAATATCATGAGTTCATATTAAGCTATCATTTATTTCACTTTCATTGTATGCAAAAGAGCCAGAACATTGTCCCTATTCTGCCTAATACTGTTGGCAAAAAAATTAAATAAATAAACACCCAAAAAGAGCTGTTTCCAGGTCAGTTATTCACAAAATAGTTACTGTTGCACAGAAATAATAACACGGATCCTGATTTCTCCATCCATGCCATAGATGTTTCAGAGAAACAAAGAGAGAGGGAGGCTGTGCTTTTCATTTCCTCTACAGGGAGTATGAGTCACACTAACCTTTCTTCTGTCTTTCACACAGTCCAATCATTTCATCAAAATGAATCTAGTTGGGAGTATAAGCTGGACCATAAACAGATGTGACTGCATGTATAAGCACGTTTGTATTTTGTTTGCAGAAAAAAAGAGATCAGAATCTGATTTTCACGACATGGTTTATAATTCATGATCTTTGATAGAGCAAAAATGATTCAGTAAATTATTCACATGCTGTGTTTTGTTCGGAAGTTTCTTGTTCGGAAGTCTTTTATGTAACCGTATAAGACTAAACGAAACAGCTGGTTTTCAATTTGTACTCATCACTTTGAAAAGCAGCAAGCCCAATAGGTTGACATTGGTGTCAAAATCGGACTATTTTTCTCTAAAAACTTTCCTAATACTGTGTCCAACTCACGTCAGATGAACTGAGGACATTTTTATTGGAAAAGATCCACTCAGACGGAAAACATGCGCGAAGTTTCCACTGCACTCCCTGGGGCGGAAGACGGGTCACTGACACTTGTGCATGTGATGTCATTTCATTAGGACAACAAAGACTGATTATTATGATGAAGGATTGATCCGGGTTATTATAATCATGCAGATCTATGTAAAAGCGCACAATCATGAATGTAGCAAAACCCCCTTTGTCCCAGAGTGAACCTCAGCCCGTTCTCAAGGGGATTAATAGGATGAAAAATGTTTCAGGAGTGGACGCTTGAAAGATCTCTATCTTTTTAATGACGCTAAGAGGACGCACACAATCTATTCTTCTATTCTCATCTGCAAAGGGCTTCAGAAAGTCTATGAACAGGGTTTCACTTCACAAATGTATTTAATGTTTCAATGACATTTCAAACTGTGTTATTATGGGATTTACTTTTCTAAATGCGTATGTAAAAAATCTGTTACGATGAGTCTGAGAAAAATACCTTACGGTCTTTGACTCCCCCGAGTGGCGGTAATCGGTAAGTGCAAACATAAATAGGCACAACACCTTCACATTAGGAACATTTTATTTAGTTTACTCAAAGTAACACATACAAATAAGATAACATTTAAATAGACACCCATGCATGTAGAACAATATATACATATCATTTTACATAGGCCTACTAATTGTAACATTTTAAATCATTTTACACATCCGCGTGGAAGACGAATATAGGCTAAAGACCTTTAGTAAGTAAAATGATTTTAAAGTTGTTGTTTTTTCAAGTGATTCCAGGTTTATCGCAATGTTTGCAGTGGTTACATCGCGTTAAAGGCCTGAAACATACTTTACACAAATACGTGAAGAGGCTTCTAGTAACACAAGTTCAATTTCCTGTCATTGTATGTAGGCTATTCCAAGATAAAATCAAGTCCAATCCATATCGCAAGTAGCCTACGCGTTGCGTTCAGTGCTGCCACAAGGGGCGCTACAGGACATTAGCTTGATCAGTCTCTTTCTGCAGTTCATTTCCTTTTTCAGGCCGACTAATGCTTTTGAAGATAATTTTGCTGAGCCACTCCGCTAAAGTCAATATTTTCAATGAGATTTGCCAGTGAAGCAAGCAATGCAACAAAGACTAGTAAAGTTCAGAACCACTGCCACAGCAACGCAATAGTGCACAACTTAACTATGTACAAACTTCCGTTGGCTTTCGTACTTGTGTAAAAGTATGTTTCTTCCATAAAAGAGTTCGTACTTGCCGCCAAGGCACTTTAGATAACTTTTTTGCCGCGGACACTTAACGGTAACCAGTTCATGCCACGTTACTAGTTATTTACTACAGTAAAACCAGAATAAAGTAACACAGGATGTTCTTAAAACAGTAGCCTACAGGAAACTTTCAAAAAACGTTCTTTAATTTATTGTTGTATTACAATGGTGGCTAGAACCAATTTCAAACAGTTTCATTTGTAGTAACGTAAACTGTGGTAATTATTATTGGCGGGAACTTTGGTTGCCATAGTAATGTTTTTGGCGGGAATCTCAGAGGTTTCCCCCGGGGTTGTGGTCTGATCCTACGCCGTTTTCTGTGTATCCTCGGGTCCTCCACCGCTGTCCGATTCCTCCTCGATGGCGAAGTGCACATCTGCTACGGAGCTGAGAGAGCTCACACTGCTCTGCTCCACCGAGCACAACGCACACGCCAGAGGCGAGCGGTCGGGGTTCAGCATGAACGGCACCGGCGTGGCGCGCAGCGCGGGAAATGCGGGAAGACTGAGACTGTTCTTCTTCTGGCTCGCGCCCCACTCGCGTTGCTCTTCCTCGTGCAGAAGCCGCGTGAACGCGTTCGAGCGACGCTTCTCACGCCGCTTGGTGCGCAGATAACCGAGCATGATCCCAATGAGGAAGACTCCGTAGAAGGACACCACGATGATGATGTACAGGTACGCGTTGTTGTCACTTCCACCGGGCAACGCGCTTCTGTTGTTCTGCTGCGATGAAAGCGCGGTGGCGTTCTGCGCCAACTCCATTACGACAGTCACAGGAACTGAGTTACCTGTAGAAAGCACATTAGAGAAACTTAAAACATCATCCTTTCAATGACATATTATTATGTATAGCCTACTAAGAATATATAGGAGTCTATTCGGTGTCGTGTCAGCGGCCCCTAAGTTAATAACTAATGAACTTTGCAACGGAGGTGAATCAAAACTTTAGCTGGACAATAACTTTATTCTAGAGCTGCTGTAAAGCCCAAACAATCTCTGTTACTTTAATTTCCTATTATCGCTGTAAAGCTGCTTTGAAACAATTGTTAAAAGCACTATATAAATGAAGATGACTTGACTATTAGAATAAACATCTGTAAAAAAAGAAAGAAAAAAGTTGGGTCACACATTATATTAGGGTTCAATTCTCACTTTTACACAACTGTAAAATTACGACTTTTGCCTCAATAAACCCACAATTGCTACTTTTTAATAGTTAGAAAGGTAGTTGCTAGGTATTTAGCCTATATTAAAGGAGCTGTATCTGTATGTAAGAAATTTATTTCAATTAATCATAAAATATGGTCATGCAGAATAATGCATTAATATGTGCTTTATAAGTACTTATAAACAGTCAATATCTTATTAATATGCATACTAATAAGCGTTCATAGTGAGAATTGGACCCTAAACTAGTGTTACCGGTATTCATTATATGACTAAAATTGGATCACAAAGAAATGGCGAATTTACAACATCAGATCTCTTCCAGGAAATCTAAAACTAAAAATAATCTTTAAAACCACTTAGAAAAAAAACTATACAGAGTACAGACTAGGGCAAAATCAGTTCTAGCCTACATCAAAGTTCATAATGACTAAAGTTTTTGTAAACTATCCTCGCATATTTAGACATGACTTAAACATATGTTTATATTTGAAAGTAGCCTACAGGTATTATAAAGTAGTCATGAAAGGACAGGGCTGTAGTTACTCACCGGGATGTTTCCCCCTGGAGCGCGTAAGGCCGTTTCACGCGTTTCCTCGAGGCTCTCTGGATTGTAACGGGTTTGTCAGCAGAGTCCCGTTTAAATAGCGGATCCCATGCGTGGACACGAGCCAGCGGGATCTGTGACAGAGGTTTAGGGAGTCGAGATCCTCACGTTCTTCCTCGCTTGAGCTCACACACACACATTCTGATGACGTTTAATGAAGTCCAAGTGCGTAGCGCTGCCAAATGTGCTCGTTTATCATAAAATATCCAGACAGGCTTGCTGTAGGAAAGCCTCTTCTTCTGCAGAACAGCAAGAGCAGCCTTTGGGAAAACCAGAGGAATGGGTTGCACGAATTATGCAGAAATAAGAATGGCTCACGCAAAAAGGAAAATCCTTCATCATTGAACAATGGACAATTATATTTTTTACTAAGATTAACAGATTAATGCATGCTTTAAAAAATATATTTCTCATTGTTAGTCCATGTTAGCTAATGCATTAATGAGTTAGTTCACCCAAAAATTAAAATTCTGTCATTAATTACTCACCCTCGTGTCATGTCGTTCGAAACCCGCAAGACGTTCGTTCATCTTCAGAACACAAATGAAGATCTTTTTGATGAAATCTGAGAGATTTCTGTCCCTCAAAGGCATCATTAAAGTAATCCATGCGACTCTAGTGGTTTAACCATGATTTTAAGAAAGCGACGTGCGCCAAAATGCGCCAAAATATAATCTAACACTTTATTTACAAAATATTAATATCCAACGCTCGTTCACGAGAGCAGCATGCCTGTTGTGTTGACGTGAGAGCTGACATTGTTGCGTGAATGCGCGTCTGAGTTTAATATTTTCTAAATAAATTGGTAAAAAACATATTTTTTTTGGACAAAGCACTCATGTCGCTTCATAAAATTGAGGTTAAATCAGTGGAGTCGCATGGATTACTTTAATGATGCCTTAACTACCTTTCTGGGGCTTGAAAATGGTAGTTGTGTAGCTGTCAATGGAGGGACAAAGCTCTCAGATTTCATCAAAAATTAAGTAATTAATGACAGAATTTAAATTTTTTGGGTGAACTATCCCTTTAAAGGAATGGCTCATGCAAAAAGGAAAATGTTTTATCATTGAACAATGAACAATTAAATTTTTTACAAAGATTAAAGTCCCCCTGTAGTCAATAATTTTATCCCTTAAAACTTATCTTTGACCACCAAAATGACATATTTAAACTTGAAAAAAAAAATCTTAATGCCTTAAAATATCTTGAATGTAACTCTACACCCTTGCCTCATTTAGTATACGCGATTCTATGAATATGCAAATGAGCCCCGCCTCCACTCACTCACTCACTCAGCTCAGAGATCCACTCGTTGACGATCACACGTTGATCTGATTGGTTACAAGGTAGTTTGTGACGTCAGAAACACCAGCGATTTAAACCATGTTTTTGAGACTGTCTTTGATTCACTGCAGTTTTAAGGAGAAATTACTCAGCAATGCTGTCGACTTATGAATTTACACATGGTTTGTCTTAAAGCATATTAAAAACACCACATAGACATAAACAACATTAAAAACTTGATTTTCACCACAGGACTTTAACAGATTAATACATGCTTTAAAAATACATTGCTTGTTAGTTGATGTTAGCTAATGCATTACTTAATGAGACCTTATTGTAAAGGGTTACTTTAACAAGCATTACTATTAAAATTCAAGGTAACATTAAAGTCCCCGTGAACCGGAAGTTGCAAACGACTTTTCTCCAGTATTGTGACGTATTTCCGAGAGAAACGGAATACTAAATGAGGCAAAATAGTGGGCATGGCTTTTTTTTCCCAACTAGCACCTGATTGGATCTAGAAAAGTAGATGTTTTCATGCAGCCTGTCTACTGTCAGTCGGAGGGGCGTGGTTACGGATGTTAAGCAGACACCCAAACCGTCAAACCTACGTCATCAGGGAAGGTCCTCCAATGCAGAGGGGAGGGGACATTTCAGATTTTGATTAAAGATTACGAAGCCAAAAAATTGTTTTGTGTGGATTGACTTGCATGTATGAATTGTTCACCACAAAACGATCAATTTAGGCAAACAAAGTAAGTATGGTCAATTTTGAATTCATGGGGACTTTAATCAAATGCATATTGGGACTAATGCCATGCATGCGTTTTAAGTTTAAGCTGTAGTGTACCGTACAACCCCACTGACGTAGTTTTCAAGGGTGTCCGGGTCTGGTTTACTTCAACAGTGAAAGAATCAGTGCCAACCATATCTGTCTGGCAGTGATGCATGATGGGCAATGCGTGGCATGGCTGCAGAAAACTAGAGCCAGAATATACAGACCAAAGCCTGACCACACCTGTCAATTAGGATCGAGTAACAGAACTGACGCAAAGTGCATGAAGAATCTGATCAAATCAGGGCAGTTCCCTGTCTGAGACCACATTACAGACACAACAGCATTATAACACTCAACAGTAAAAAGTATTATTGTTAAACAACAGTAATTTAACAATAATAAAGGAGTGTAATAACACTCCTTTAACTACATGGACTTTTTCCAATCATAAGTTGCTATAGGGACTTTTGTACTCTGCAGATCCGTAATGAACACGAGTGTGTTGTCATTTATGGAAGTATTTCTATAAAAGGGTATAGCAGACTTTCAGACATATGCTCTGCTCAAGATCAGACACTTCAACTTGATTAAGTATAACTTGAGTATTTACACAATGGAGTTAAAGTTAGTCATTGCTCAGTGAAGGATTGAGGTCTTTTTAAAAAACTTTAACTCTTTTAACCTGAAGTTTGTTTTGAATGATTTAGAGTAACACAATCCAACTGATACCACAAAACATCACATAATTCATCACCTCCATTGCTAATACTTACTGAAGAGGATGCAAAGTAGAATAGAAAGCCTATAAAATTGATTACCAGTTAACAAACAATATGCACAAGTAAACATTTCAGGGACATGGCAACATCCACTCAAACCAAAGGTATAATAACTTGCTTTATGTTCACTTAATTTGTCTTAAGACACATTCTATGTACTGTATGGTATAAGTGTACTGTAGTTTGAGTTTTTTTTTCCCACAGGAAAGCCCTTCATTTCCATTATCTCAAGTTCACAGGATCAATTTCATGACAAATTACAAAATAAATGACTAACTTATGACCTGATATTACAATGTCAATGACTGATTTCATTTGAGTTCAAAACGGGCTGTTATCAGGGGGCACCGAAACCAGAGTAGGACCAAAAGGACAAAGTAATAACGATGAAAGGAGAGAGATCGTGCGACAGCTGCTTCCACACGGATCAAAATGAGTTCAGTTAACAAGCAGAGAAAAAGAAGAAGCAGGGAGCTCTCTTACTCATCGAAGATCAGCTATGAATAACAAAACTCTTATCATAAACCACGGTCTATTATACCTGGAAAATGCAGTCTGTTATTTAACAATAATGTGTAAACCCTTTAAAGGAAGCCCTACTGTGAGTTCTGAGGTTGTTTATTGATGGTATAATTCTGTTGAAGCCACCCAATTGCACTATTTCAACTTATTTTTTTAAATAATCCTGTTTAACAGGGGAATTCGTGGTGTAAAACTACATTACCCAAGATGCAGTACAAAAATTCCACCAATCAGAGAAACATGGCAAGCGAAAGACAAATGCCAGGTCTGAGTCTGCAAGCACGTCCTCTATGAGGTATACAGATAATAATTTAACAACTCCATTTGCAGCAAGCCTTAGCTGGCATCTTAGATTTATTTATTTCTAAACGAAACAGTTCAACACGCTCTGAAACAACTCGAGCACATGTCAGCGTCTTTATAGACAAATAGAGGAAAACCTTCTTGAAATGAATCAATTCAGTTTAAAATGTTTAATGGACATGGTTGAATGGTTTATATTAGAAGAATTATACTAGATCTATTATCCTGTCCAGCAGGATATACAGTCACCCAATAGGAACATTCCAATCCTTGCACATAAATCAGAATCATCCAGGGACGGACTGGGACTAAAAAACGGCCCTGGACTTTGACTAGGCCCGGCCCAAAGCAATCGGCGCGCGGAAACTCGACAACAACAACAACAATAACGCCTGCACAAATGAGTGTCACAAGACTTTAATTGTGGCTCATGATACTATACCATCCAAATTATACTAGCTAACAGCATACACTGTCAGAAATAGGGGTACAGTAGGAGTCCATTTCTGTCCCCCAAGGTACATATATGTACCTTTTTGAGGATCAAAAAGGTACATATATGTCCCCAAGCATTAAAAGGTACATATATATACCGTTTCTTTTAAAGGTTAAGGTACAATATCAAAAGACAGCCTCTGCTAAGTAATTTTTTTTTTTTTGTAAAAAAGGTTTTAAGGTTTTAAGGATACATTAATCATTTAAGGTAGATTTTAACTTATCACTATATTTGACTAGCCTTGAAATAGAGGAAATAAAAGTTTTGTAAGTCAATTTACTGATATTAAATCATTATAAAACAGCAAAAACTCCAGTGTTAAATTAACTCTCCTGGGAGTTTATATGGCTCCAGACTCAAGAGTGTTAAAGTGTTAAAATATGACTGTTAAATTAACAAAAGTTAATGAGCTAATTAAGTGATTCATTGAGTGATGATTGACCATTATTGAAGACACCTGATGTTAACAAGCAGAATCACTGAAGTAGAAAATAAAATAAAATTAAGACACCGCTATGGTGATCAGTGTTTGCTTTAGTTGGGCTCTTGACCCTTAAACTGATAACATTAGATTTTGTTTCTCTGTTGTGTCTGAGTTACAACTGCCAGATGAACAAAGAGAAGAGTTGATCAGGTGGTGTTGGTTATGTTTTGACAATCATAATTTGACCTGAATCACTGAACTCATTTGAAGTCTAATCTCTGACTTAAATGTATATTTTTGATTACAGCAGCCTGTGATTCAACAGAATAAGATCCATCATTTTCTAATCTAAAGGGTTTCTTAAAAGTTTATCTGATAAAACAAATCTTTCTTTTAGGCCCACACAGACATCAAGAATCAGTGTATTAATCTCAACAATGGTGACAAAAAGAATATTCAATTAGGGAAAGGAAATTAGTAAAACAATTTGGATCATAATTTATTCATACCGCAATGCATGATGGGAGCCATTAATGAGTTTTGATTGGTGTCACCCAGAATGCACTGCAACATGCTTTATTATTGTCACCATTGTTGAGATTCACAGGCTGATTATTGATGTCAGTGTGTCAACATAAAATAATTTTTAAAAAAAAGTATTTTGATCAGAACAACTTTTAAGAAATATTTTGGATTATATGGAAATTGCTGGAAATCATTTGCTGTAGAATCACAGGCTGCTGTAATCAACAATATACATTTAAGACTGAGATTGAGAAAAAGAATGAGTTCAGTGATTCAGGCAAATTATGATTATGTCAAAACATAACCAACACCACCTGATCACCTTTTCGCTTTGTTCATCTGGCAGTTATAGCTCAGATACAACAGCCAAACAAAATCTAAAATTAATGGTTTAAGGGTCAAAAGCCCAACTACAGCAAACACTGATCACCATAACGGTGTCTTAAAAAATTATATTTTCTCCTTCAGTGATTCTGCTTGTTAACATCAGGTGTCTTCAATAATGGTCAATCATCACTCAATGAATCACGTAATTATCTCATTAACTTTAACATTCTTGAGTCTGGAGTCATATAAACTCCCAGGAGAGTTCAATTAACACTGGAGTTTTTGCTGTTGGACCTCAAGGTGCATACATGTACCTTTTTGAGGGTCAAAAAGCATTAAAAGGTACATATATGTACCGTTTCTTTTAAAGGTTAAGGTACAATATTGTACCCTTGAGGGTACAGCCCCAGTGACAAGCCATTGTTCCCCTAAAGCAGTGTTTCTCAACCTCTCCTGCAGGGACCCCCTGACAGGCCATGTTTCTGTTTTAACCCTGAAATGGCACACCTGATTCAAGTCATTAAAGGCTTAATGAGTAGTTGACTAATTGATTAATTGAACTATTCCTACTCTAATTACTCATTAAGCCTTTAATTACTTGAATCAGGTGTGCCATTTCAGAGTTAAAACAAAAACATGGCCTGTCAGGGGGTCCCTGCAGGAGAGGTTGAGAACCACTGCCCTAAAGGTACAATTATGTACTTTATTTTCTGAGACTGTATGTAGAGCCAGCCCTGATTGGCTGCTTGAATCTCAATTTAAAAGATTGTCCAGTTTGCGGTCTTTCTTTTTTTTGGCCATCGGTGGAGAAGAAGTCATAGCACGGTTACTCATGGTTCTTACAGGGCTTTTAACCGAGGAGGTCCTTCAGAAAATATCAGAAGCAGGCATAGAAGTAACCGACGTCGAGATGAAAGGAGATGAAATGGACTTTCAGGCAAATGACTCTTACTCAGATGATGATCATTTATATGTCACAGTTAAACATTGAGTTTAAAATGAAATGTTGGAAAATGCGAAAATTAAAGGGGTCTAATAAATTCTGATTTTAATTCAGCATGTGTGTAATATATATATATATATATATATATATATATCATTATAGTCAACGATTGTACCCTGTCAAAGCCAATTTTGTACCATTTTTGAAGGGTCCATTTTTGTACTGTTAAATAAAGGTACAAAATTGTCACCACAGGTACAAGACTGGTCTCTTAAGGTACAAATCACAAGGGTACAAATATGTACCCTATGCCAAGGGTACAATATTGTACCCTTGAGGGTACAGCCCCAGTGACAAGGCATTGTACCCCTAAAGGTACAATTATGTACTTTATTTTCTGAGAGTGTATTATACAATTCCATGCTGTCTTAAAATGAATTTATTACTTAATAATCTTAATTAATTTATGCAGTAATTAATCTACTGCACAAATAATAATACCACATCTAAATGAAAATACACCATTACAAATGTAATTCTGTATTCAAAATCTTCAAAGTTTGTAAGCATTAACTGTAACGTTACCAACATTTTTAAAAGTAAAAGCACAACATATTTCTTAATATTAGCTCCTGCATACAGGCATTTTACAGCTAAAATGTTGAAGTTTAGCTGTTTTAACTACTGTAATCATTAAAAATGTAGCAAGCTGAATATCACTTCCTAACATCATCCCTAGCAAGTAACTTGCAAAGTAATTTCTGATTAATTCGGTTCGGGAGTAGTAGGGATAAAAGCCCTCCCGCACTGACAATTGATTGGTTGGGTCCTTACATGCGCTTCGTGAGGCACACGCGCACACTAGCACGCCACGCACACGCAAGGTCGCTAGCTCGCTCCCTCTCTCTGCCATGCACGCGCTACGCATACGCGCTCTTGCTCGCTCTAGATTCCGGGAGATTTTAACTAATTTGCGGGCATCAGGGAGCATCTATCAATATGCGGGAGACTCGCGGAACTTCCGGGATACTTGGGATGTCTGTGACTGCGTGTGTGGCGGGTGGTGGGCCGGGCCGCCGGCCCGCCGGCCGTCCTGGAGTGCCGGCCGTTCTGTGATTCTCCAGATCACACAGATGGCCAGTCCGCCCCTGGAATCATCCAATGAGCAGAAACGGTTTAGTGATTTCATACTCTCCAATGAGCATGTTCTAATATTTAAATAAATCTGATTATTATAACAATAATTTAAAATAAGCTTAAAGATGTTTGATTTTCCAGATCGTTGGTTAATATGCACACAGTCTCCTCCCGACAGAATTCAATTCAAATTATGGAAAGATTGAAAAAGCAAATAATGGCTTCAAGATTTCCTGATGCGTTTAGACATCCTAATGAAACCATTCCAACGTTTACATCAGCATTTGTCTATCTACAAGTTGTACTTGTTTGAAACTGAAGGTTTCAATGAAAAAGTAAGCTTAGAAAAACACAGTGCTTAGTCAGTCACCATGTATATAACCGGAGAAAGCCACCGCGATAATGTCACCAGAAGATATCTAAAAAGAAATTTGACATATATGTCAGAAGAGGTTTTTTTTTTTTTAGCATATATTTAGCAGTATAGTATTGCTGGTTGTGAGTGTTTGTGTTTACTGGACATCAGAAATATCATACTGATCAATCAACTGTGTGAAAACATTTCCAAATGATTATGTTCACGTGTCTGTAACATCCATGGGAAATCTCCATCCTGATTGGAGTTTGCTATAGTGTGATAAGTTACTTTTTCTGGCCCTCTTGTCCACCGTTTTCGTCTGGAATCAGCAGGGGTTTGGTTCTACTTGGCTCCATACATCCTCTCAATGTCGTCCTGGTAGTGAGTTTTTAGCTCCTTTCGCTTGAGTTTAAAAGCGTCTGTAACCAGGCCGGTCTCTGGAGTCCAGGGCTCAATGCTCAAGCAGATCTTCCGGGGAATCTCAAATCTTTCTAACTGGGCTGTTAAATACACAGGAACAGGAAATGAATCGTAAGCACAGCTAAAGTTAGTGGTAAAACAAGAGGCACAACAAATGACTTTGTGCAGGATATAAACGTTCATCTTTCAGGGGTTCCCAAACTTTTGTGTCAGCCGAACCCCTTAGATGTGAAATATTTACTTAATTTGGATCGGATCAGATCAGCACGGAATGGAACGGTTAAGCAAAGAGAACAGTTTGGCGAAAACTTTAAAATGGACTCAAACCTGTTTTTAGTTGTGATAATGTCTCAGTCCATATTAGATCTCAGTCCATAAAAATGAAGACAGGAATATATTACTTTTGTAAATTACAATTGTAATGTATATTTAATAATAATAACAATCATTTTATTGACACTACAACACTAATATTTATACTGTATATTAAAATCTTTACTTTCAAATGTTCAAATCCTCTAGATTATTTTATTAAGACGTTTGCATAATTTCCTACATTTTTGTGGACAGAAGCTTATAGCATTTCAGGAGCTAGAGCATGTTGTGTTCCCAAATGAGTCCCAAGTTCCCTGCATTTACTGTGAGAGGCTGAATACAGTGGATCATATGGTGATTATCGTGCAGCCCCATTTATTTATTTAGATTTTACATTTGATTAATTAATTATTCGCTTTTTAAATCACCTCACGAACTCCCGGTTGGGAAGCCCTGATCTATAAAAGTAACATTTTAAGATTACACGATTGGGGCCAATATTATATCATTGGTGCATTCTAGAGCTGAACGATTCTGGATAAATTGAGAATCCCGATTTTTTTTCCCTTCAGATAGAGATCACGATTCTGAACAGACAGTTAAACAAAATAACATGTAATTTACTAGAGGTTCTGAACTTCTGACAAAATGTTATTTGCTCCTGTATATTCAAAAATGTTTCATTCATTTGAAATACTTCGGTTTGAATGAATGATTCAATGACTCAGTCATAAATATTTCACATGTTTCATTACTGGATGAATCAGTGTTTTTGAACTAATCTTGAATGATTCAATGACAAATACACATTTTTAACAGTCACTTGTCGCCACCCACTGGCGTAACAATGTAATGATACAATCGTTATTTGGAAGCGCCAAGTTACTTTCAAAAGCTGATTTGCTTTATTGTGATTACTTTGCAGAGCAAACACAGATTTGAATGTTCTGCTGTGAAAAAAAAAAAAGGTTTAATAGACAAGAGAATCATTGTCATTTAGGAATAAGTTTGCATGGGAGTTTGAATCGAGATTGTGATCTTTTAACAATTAATCATGCAGCTCTGGTGCGTTCTTAGAGCAACTTGCATTGCTACATACTACAGAAATGGTATGAGTAGTATGATAGTATGCCAGGGACCCATTCACCTGTCAGTGCCGCTTCTGTGATGACTTTAAGCACCTCCTCCTCGATGACAGGGCTGTTACAGAGCTCCTCCCACAAACCTCTGATACGCTTCCTCTCAGCCAGCGCCAGGAGCTGCTTCTGATTGGGCACCACAAAGCCAATCACGTAAGACTCGTCACTGGAAAACAGGAAGAGGAGGGACTACCGTAAAATTATTTGTGGGTGTATACAGGAGTGTTGACTATCAAAGTGTTAGTGAGTTTTAGTTAGGGTTGGGTGATATGATTTCATAAGAGTCATTTTATTTCATGAAATTGATATATATCACAATATAGTTATTTTTATTTTGTATTTATTAACAACAACAATAGCACAAATACAATATAAAAAAGATACAAATGACTGAACTGTGCTTTAAGCTTTTCAGGTACAGTGGGTCTATTTAACAGTTGCATAATACATAAATTAAATAACTGGAATGTTGTAACATCATAATTATTACTGAACCCAATTTAATCAACATTGAACTGACACAAAGTGAATAATGACACTATTGTCCTCTGTAGAGCTCCTTATAAGGATTATGAACTAATTTCATACTTGATTAACTTTATACAGTTACTGAACTGAATCAACACTATTGTCTTTTTTAGAGCTGCTTTACTACAGAATTTGAATTGGTCTCAAATTTGATATGCGTAATTGATCATTATTTTCCTGTTCATCACTGTGAAGCTGCTTTGAATCAATCTGTATTTTATAAAAGTGCTTTATCAGTAAAGGTGACTTGACATGATTACTGACATACATTATTTAGAAATGATGTTACAGAATTCATATTAAAATACTGGTGATGCCAGTGTGCTTGCTGTGTGGCTGCCACTATATACACTGCCTGGACAAAAAAAGTTGCTGTTTGGATTTAAATGGATATACAGGCAAATGCTTAAAGGTGACACATGCCCCTTTTCACAAGATGTAATATAAATCTATGGTGTCCCCAGAATGTTTCTGTGAAATTTCAACTCAAAATACCCCCCAGATAATGTATTATAACTTGTCAAATTTGCCCCTTTTTAGGTGTAAGCAAAAATGTACCGTCATGTTTAACTTTTTTGACACAATTTGACACAGTTCCATGAGGTCTTTATAAGACAGTTGTGACATTTTCTGGTCAAATAGTGTTCTGTGCTCGTCTGTGCAGCAACGACAGAACAGTTTGCATGCTTTGCTCGAACTTTTGCCATTGCGTTAGAACTGGTTACACTGTTGTCGCTTCTGAAAACCAAATGGGATGCCGTGGGTGGAAACGTGCAGAATAAGGGGCAGTAATATTATAATAAGATCCCCTTCCTACGTCAGAGGGGGAACGAAATCTGATCGGCTTATTTTTTGACATGCTTGCAGAGAAAGGCTTACCAAAATAAAGTGACTAGGTTGTCACTTTTCACGTTTTCTGGGTTGGTAGATGCACCGGGGACCCGATTATGGCACTTAAACACGGAAAAAGTCAGATTTTCATGATATGTCCCCTTTAAGAGACTATGAATGATTGTAACTGTAGAAGAACCAGATAACTTTCTGAGGCATTTGTTAGTACAGTAACACATGTGTTTTTGTTAGTGCGGTACAGGTTGTACTTTGTGTTGGCACCTGTTGGCATAGGCACAGATGTTGTCGACGAGTGGGCAGTTTTTCAGGACGGCCTCCACTTTTCCAAGAGACACATATTCTCCTGCTTGAAGCTTCACCAGGTCTTTCTTACGGTCTTAATACACACACATACACACACACACATGCAAATATTAAGCAGATTTCATCTGATATGTATGCAAGTGAACTACAGGAAGTTCTCCTTTCTCTCCCTTTTGGAGTGTATCCTGCTTTCTTTGAGTTCTTATCACTGCCTTTATGGGAATATGTTGACAGTGAAATGTGTCATTTACAGGAAGAACAGGACTAAAGCGTTTTATCGCAAAACAGAAGGGGATTTCCATTCGCTCATTCCTGCCAAAACAATCTTTATGATGTTCTGGATAATCTCTCTTTGTCGCTCTCTTACCGATAATCTTCAGACAGCCATCTCCATGAAACTCTCCGATGTCTCCAGTGCAGAACCACCGCTGGCCTTTCTTATCCACGAAGAAGTCCTCACGGTTCTTGTCTTTGTTCTTGTAGTAGCCCATTGTTACGTTTGGCCCACCGACCAGAATCTCTCCTCGCGGACAGGGCCGGTCTGTGCTGCGATAGCCACCTGGATACATACATGATGCATTATGATGACAAAAAAAGAGGGATGGGAAAACAGACTAAACTGTATAAAGCACAACAGAAGAATTCCAGAAATACAAGTATCTTTCAAAATCTCCAGAGCGAACTGAAGACAGACCTAACATGGGTTCAGAGGTTGTTTAGCCAAAAGTCAAAGTTATTTTAGTCTCGTGTAGCCAAACGTTTGACAAATCGACATAAGTTTAGTCCACATTGCAGCTTATTTTGGCCAAGAACAGCCCACTTAGACAAGAAGAGACAATCTGACTGACAAATAAAGGGACCAATCACAGTTTTACTTGCCAATTTAGGGGCGGTTTCCATGAACAGGTCTAGTTAAAACACTGAAAATTGTCAGAAAGTGTGTATCAACTAGTGAATGAATCCTTGTGAAAAAGAAGTGTGCTTAATTGTATTGATTGTTGTGCTTGTAGTGTACTTCAAAGTATATATTTTTTAAAAAACTGTACTTGCAGATAATATATAAATTATATAAAAGGCCACTTTAGTGTACTTGAAGAGAGTACACTTCCATGACTGTTTCTTAACACACTTAAGTATACTTTTAAAATGTGCACTTTGTAATAATGTGAAATTACATGATTATACTCTAAATCATTATCTTTTCATATCTTTTGTCATGCTTTAAAGAAGTACACTTATTTTGATATGTTGACTAACATACTAAAGCACATCTAAAGTATTTGATTATAATTTAAACTGTAGTGTGTTTTATGATGTAGTATATTTAAATATGACACAAGTTTCAATAGAAATTACATTAATGTATATTGGTAGTTTACCATATACTTATCAGTTGAGACATTCAACAGCACACTTTAACCATATATTTTAAAGACAATATAATTATGAAATTACATATAAAGATGGAATTAAGTTAAGTGGGTAAAAAAGCACATTAGTTCATCTAATTGCATTTAATATAAGTTTAAACTAATAATTTTTTATTGAAGTGCAATTAACGATTACACTTAATTTTAAGGTGTCAGTGTTACAGTGTTCATGTATGTACTTCATGTATGTACTTACTATGTACTTACTAGGATTAGGGTCTGGTTTAGGGTTAGTTGCATGTAAAAACAATACATTGCAGTTTCTGAAAACAGTACATTCAGTAAGTGTAATATACATGATAGTTAAAGCTGCAGTCCGTAGTTTTTCCTCTGTCGCCATCTCTGTTCAAAATCTGCAATTGCAGTTATTCGCAGAATTATCAACTTTACGTGGGTTGTGCCTCGGCACGGCACAGCGCGGATGAACAATGTTTGAGGAGAGTGTGCAGCTGTCAGTCACCGCGCCGGTGTGGATACTGGCATTCGCAATCACAGATTATACTTTTTGGATGTATGACCAACATAAGAATTTTAACCGGAAAATATCATCTGAACAAGTAACAAACATCCACTTTTGTTCTGACCAACTAAGGGAAAAAGCATTACAGTAAATCGCGCTGATTAAATCTAACGATCGCTTATCATATCAAGTCAAACCGTGCAAATTATACTTTGAACTCAAATTGTTCATGTTAACAACATCAGCATTGCGTGACTACATTTAAAGCCCTTCCGATATTTATCCTCGTTTTCGCATGGGCCCGGTTGCAGTTTCTTTTTTTTTTTCTGTAGCCACTCCGAAGTCCGAACGAAGTCTTTTGCATTGAATCTTTTGGTGAATCTCCAGTTGTCACTGGTGATTGTCGTTTGAACATTTCTGGATCCGGCAAAACAAACTGAATGTCTTTCAAAGAATTGAACATACTACTCTGACAAAATTTGGCAAATCCAGCTCCACCAATCAGAGAAGTCGCTTGGCTATCATGGAAATGGGTAACACAGTAATCTCCAAAGTGGTACTGCAAGCTAGCAAAGACTGCCTAGATACCGTTATATAATGTTTTGTGAGGCCTAAGTGTTAAAGCATAAAAGTGTAAGCATCTAATCCCTGTGACGCGTGGCCTTTCATTCTTATGGTTAATAATGCTGCCATTATATAACATTTTGGGCTGTATTTTCCTATGTAATGAATGTGAACTGTTTATAGTAATGTAATGCGTTTTCAAATAAAAACGTTAGGTTACTGTGTATCATTTACAGAACACAGCTGAGCTGATTTGTCCAGAAATAGCCGCTCTCTTGTCTTCCTTACAAGGCCACAAAATGACCATAAATACTTTTTTCCACTTCCTTCTCTTTTGTTCTGCTGTTATATTGCTCATCATTCTCTCGAGGTAGCAAACCACCAGACGTATCTCCTTCTGATGGATAGGTAAACGTCCATGACAGTGTTTTTATAAGAGCAGATAAATGTGTGTATGTGTGTGTATCGCACTCACCCTCTATCCAGTCCTTAAGCTGAATTTCACAGCAAACCAATGGTGCGCCAACTCGTCCTGTACTGTAATCCCAAACTACACACACACACATAGACAATAAGATCACCTAAAACAATCTGCTTTGGCTGTAAGGGCACAGTTATATAATTATTTCCATTGCAGAAAAAAACATGATAACATATGACTAAATGTGTTTCTTCGATTAAAAAAAATCTCATATTTCAGGAGTCACCAGCTGCGTTGACTGTTCCACCATAGATTCCTCTTAGGAACACCATCAATCATTTTACAAGGCAACTGTCTTCCACAAATGTTCATGTTAACGTTTTTAAGGAACAGGATATAGAGTTAGAGACCTAGTTTCATTTGGCTGGACTTTTGTAAATATAATTTTCTCATTAATACACAATTACTGTTATTTTGAGTATGCAGAATCTGTTTACGTATTAAAGAGATCATATCATGATTTGTTTGGACTCTGAGGTCCACTTATGATGTCAGTCATGTATGCACCACATTTTTTGCACCACAGACCATTTTTTATTCAATAGACCATTTTCTATTGATTTGAATGGGTCAATATAGTTTTACTCGTATTACTTGTGTTGTAAAAACGTGAGCTTTATAGCAATGATGTATGAGAGTCTATTTTCCATCATATGACCCATTGAACTGTTACAATATCCATGATTGTGTGCCTTTAACACTAGTTATATTTACATACCGTAAAGTTTGGGGTTGGTATGGTTTAAATGTTTTTTTCCTTTTTTTTAAAGAAGTCTCTAACCAAAACTGCATTTATTTTTAATGGATTTTTAGATTGTATCGCATTATTATCCTGTGTTTCCTTCTGTTGTCATGGTTGCTAGTATGTTTTTGTCATGGTTACTCATTGATACACTGATTTCACACACCTGATCCTTGTTTTGTTCATTAGTTTCCTTGGTATATAATGACTTCATTTCTGTCTGTTCTTTGTCTGGTGTTGTTTGTGTTAACTGACACGTTTGCCTTCATTGTATCTTTGTTTTGTTTAGTACATTTAAGTTAATAGTGCTGCAAATTAGATCCTCTGTGCCTCATCTTGTCTTCTTCCTGACCACCTACATGTCACTGTCAATTTTCAGCATCATTACTCCAGTCTTCAGTGTCACATGATCCTTCAAAATCATTCTAATATGATGATTTGCTGTTCAAGAAACATTTCTGATTATAATAATAATTATTTCTGATTATTATTATTAAATAGAAAGTTTAAAAGAACAGCGTTTATTTGAAACGAAATCTTTCGTAACATTATAAATGTCTTTACTGATGCTTTTGATCAATTTAATGCATCCTTGCTGAATAAAAGTATTAATGTCTTTTAAAAAAAAATGTCTTACTGACCCCAAACATTTAAAGGTAGTAGTGTAGGTTATGAAAATATGTATTTGAAGTATAGTATTTGAATTTGAAAACATGAAATAACAGTGCCGACAGTCGAGGTGTAAATCTCACGCTGGCTGATGGTCCCGGCGCCGCAGGTCTCTGTTAGGCCGTAGCCCTGACCCACAGGGCAGCAGAAGCAGATGTTCATGAACCGCTGGGTCGCCGCAGAGAGAGGTGCCCCGCCTGACAATAACACTCGTAAACGTCCACCTAACAACGCCCGAACCTTCCGGAAGACCAGCCTGGAGAGAGAAGAAAGATTTGGCTTTGATGGTAGAGTATATTGAGGACATGCGTGTAAGATGTGTCGAGTTTCTGTATGTGTGTGTGAGGGATGTCTGTGACTGTGAGAACCGGTTTTGGGGAGTTACTAAAATTAGTATTGCTATTCAATGATAATTCAATAATAATCAAATGCACCATCCCAGAATGTCTTCTTTCTATCGAGTAGCATTGAGAAGACTAATTGATTGTAGTAGATTGTTTTTTTGGATATTTCAATGAACCGGTTAACAAATTTGACTCAGTATTCCAAGAATAGTGAAATAAATATTTAGTTAAATCAGTGTTTCTCAACCGGTGGGTCGTGACCCAAAAGTGGTTCTGATGGGCAAGAGTGATCGAGTACTCGTTCGTGACAGCGACGATCGATCATGAAAATGATGATTTTGATCAATGACTTTAAAAAATATATTTATCTTTTTTTCTGATTGGTTATTGCGGCATTTGGGGCGGTTCCTGAAGTCTGATTGGTTAGCGTTAGACACACCCCTTCCAGACCGGCGTAATAAAGTGAAACTGGATTTGAAAGCGCACACTGCTGGCATGCAGGTATGATGTTCAATCTATTCATCAGGAGCAGTTTCCATATGTTTCAGTAACAATTCATGTTAGTGTTGTGTATTTGGTAACTTGTTTCTATAACCCCAAAATGCCACTTTATTTTCACATGTTATTTTGTATATATTTAAGTGACTGGTGGTGACTCATTCCAACTTTATTGTATTAACAAAAACTATTTTGGGACTGCTATTTAATAGCCTTATCTTATAGACCTACTATTTATTAATTATTAGTCATATTCTTACAATTTACGTGTATGTTAAGTAAAGGAGGATGGTACTCGTGTGTGTGTGTGTGTGTCAAAAAGTTTTGTTTTGCTTGGTTTTTATTACAAATGTATTAATATACGATATGTATATATATATATATATATATATATACATGCATACATGTACATATAAATATATGTGTGTGTGTGTGTGTATATCCTAAAAAAAGTGGGTCGCGGCTTCATGACAATGGGAAAATGTGGGTCCCATCATGGCCAAACTAGTTGAGAACCACTGAGCCAAATAATGACTGATTCAATTATACAAGTTACATGTTCTCCATTATAGTTTTATAACAATGTAAATATACGTGTTCAAGTTTCGAAACACAAGCTTTACTGTAGTTTTACTACTCTAAATCAGTGGTTCTCAAAGTGGTCTCCGCGGACCCCTAGTGGTCCGTGAACTATAGCCAGGGGGTCCGCGAAATAATTTATAACAGCCTACCGTTTTTTCCGGACTATGTCGTGTTTTCTTTATCATCTGAAAACATGCTATTTATTCCAAAGTGACTTATATAATGCATTTAACGTCAAATAATACAAAGTAGACACTTAAAGGTTTCTATAGATAGATAATCTGTATGTCTGTGCGTCAAGTAGACTATTCGCTGTGTTTTGGTTAATTTTTGGGGCACGTGCGCCAGAAAGGAGACAGAGACGGCATGAACCCGCATCCGGTTGTTTTCTTTATTTTTAAAAAGGCATGACATTTTGTAGTCATTTATAATGTAGCCTATACACAAATAAAAAAATCAACACTTTACCGTTTTGAATGATGTACTCTTGTCTTATCTGTATGACCATAAATAAGAGTATTCCTTTGTTTCCACTGCTGAGGAAAAAATCCAAAGTAATTGCGCCGGCATCTCACGTGCGGGCACAATATGTAAGTTCTAGCACTGCTAGATTAGACATTAGAAGCCTGATTATTATCAAAATAAAAGTGCATAGGGACAGGGCCGTCTAAATCATGAGCAGTTTGTAAAGAATGTTCTTCAACACTACGTATGGCGTTTGTATGTGTGTATTAGAGTATTCGTGTGTGTGTTTGATGTACTTGTCACACAGTGGAGTGCTGTATCCCATCGCAAGCTGCTCCATCTTATAGTTGTAGGCCAGTAGAAACAGAGTCCTCTGAAAAGCACTCATTTCCTCCACCTTTAGCATTACATTCTTGTAGATTCGATCCATAATCTCCTTCATACACGGACAGAGAAAATATGTGCATATAAAAGCCGCGGACATAACTGATGACCTCACTGAAACATGAAAGGGATTTCTATCTCTCTCTGATATTACATGAATGTCTTTGTTTCCAGACATTAATATATTTTTTAAAACGTTAATGCATGTCACACTTGCAATGACCTGAATACACCTCTTTTATGATACTCACATTTAAATTTCTGAATTAAAATTATATTTTTTTGTGGGGCTTGAAATCCAAAATGTCTACTTTGTGTAACCCTCCCCCAGACATCATAAGAAAAAAAGTCTCACAAGTCTCAATATTTTAAAAAAAGTAATGCATTAAACTAAAAGTAAACTAAAATCATTATATACAGACTAACATATTTAATAAATATACAATATAAAAGTCTAGAATTTTCTGACCCAAAAAGTTTTTATGCTAAATTATTGTTATTACATTATTAATATGTTTTTAACATTTTAAAAACTTTTGTCCACCAAACAAAAGTCATCGAGGTATAATCAACATGCAGGAGGCCATTCTGTGAAACAAACAAAAAAAACAAACAGGAAATGACATCACAAAAGGACCCCTAGACTGTGGGCACCGAAGCAATGACCTCTTCTCACAGAGAGAGGAGGATAAAAAGTATCAAGTAGTACACATATATATATATAAAAAAAAAAAACTTAATGTGAATATGAATATGGTAGTCATTCAGTACAATGGTAATATTACCATCTGATACCACCAAGGGAAGTGGACATGTATTCTAATTAAGTTACTGCTGACATTTTTCCATTTCACATTGTGATATGGGAGGGTGGAGAAGCCCCTTCTGATTTTTTTTTTCAATGCTCCCTTATGATTCGGATGTTCTCCCACTGCTGAGAGAGCCGTGTCAGCCGCTGTGTTTATGGAAGTTTGCTGTGCTGTGTCGTTATCAGTCCACAGGGACCCTCGTATCCAACCACACCAAGACAGTGTGTGTGTGTGTGTGTGTGTGTGTGTAAGTGAGTGTGCATTTACAGTGTCCTCAGGCAAAGAAAATCTTGAAATTAAACATTATTAATTGTGTATCTACAGTGTGTGAGACACTACTTGTGTGTGTGTTTGTGTATGTCAGAGGGATATCCACACCGGGCTTTCTCACGTTCTGTTTACAGCTGCGAATCATTCCGGACAATCACATTCGCTGACATTAAACCCCAAAAGCCCAGAGAGAAACAGAGAGAAAGATTCAGCCTTACTGGTACTGCTGCCATTAGAGTGGGCTGCAGGACACTAACGTCTCCTTTGCTTCCCTTCTTTATCTTGGTTGACTATAAAGTGATAACAACAAAAAAAGAGAAACATCTCTGTAAGTTTAATTCATCTCAACCCATTTGCAAAACCAAAGAAAACTCCCACAGTGCTGCACATTTTTTCCATTACGTGATTCTGGTGTTTCAGCATTTTCTCCGATGACATTATTTGACATCAAAGTGCTCCTATTATGCTTTTTTTTAGGATATTACCTTTAATGTAGAGTGTTATATAGCTGTTTGTGAATGTAAAAGGACTGTGAAGTTTCAAAGATCAAAGTGCACAATAAATGGAGTTATTTTCTCCTAAAAGAAAGAAAAAATGTCAGTCTAAAGTCTTCATTGGCTGCCGTGAACAACGTCTACTTTGACCCGGCCTCAAACACTGTAGTTGTAGCGGATACTGAAAGAGTTGGGTTTGTGTTGTCGACAAAAGACGTTTAATTTTAAAAGACACGGGACGAACAATTACAACAGACTGGGCCGTCTGACCAATCAGAGCAGAGCAGGCTCTTAGAAGGGTGGATTTAGAGAGAATCGTTGATTGAACCGTTTTAGACACTGTGAGAAAATGCTGCAGTGAATATAATGAAAAAAATTAAAGTGTTTTTTTTACCTTGGATGCACAAACCAATTGTAGGAGACCTCAAGGAGAAAAATTAGTAGCCTTTAAAATAGCATAAAGGGGCACTTTAAATGCTTGATTGTGACATCACAGAGCACTGTGCTGATTTCCTGAGTCCAATTACAGAGCGCTTCGATGAACTGACTAACATCATAGGCCTGTGTTTTGACTTTCAGAATGTACACAGTCAATAGGAGCAAAAGGTTATTACCTGGTCTGAGAGAGTTTGTGGTGAAGAGTAGCCGATTCTACAGCCCTGAGCAAAACACACCATCTCAGCGCTCAACTCTAACACATGAGCCAGTGGAAGGTAGCCAATGTATGTGTCATCCTCACTGCAAAAACAAAAACTGTCTATTTAATATAAATATCAGGTTTTAAATTTAAAACCAGAGAATGGAAAATATTTTTTTTTATATCTAAACATGCACTATCTAGTTAGTCAGACTGCTATACTAGTCTGTTAATCATCAGGCCTGTTCTACACATCTTGTATACAAAAATAAAATAGAATAATAACAGAAAAGTGATTTTTTTAATGATACTACATCGAACTTTTACTTTACCAACAGCCATAAAAACAATTAAAGACTTGATCATTATGAAATCTATAATCATCTTTTATTCAGCAAATATTAATTAAAATTGATCAAAAGTGACAGTAAAGATATTTCTAATGTTACAAATATTTCTATTTCAAAAAGTGCTGTTCTTTGAACTTTCTGTTCATCAAAGAATCCTGAATTATTTTTAATCAGTTTCCACAAAAATATGAAGCAGTTTTCAACATTGATGATAATAACAAATGTTTCTTGAGCAGCAAATCATCATATTAAAATGATTTCTGAAGGATCATGTGACTGTAAGACTGGAGTAATGGCTTTTGAAAAAGGAGGACCACATTTACATCTAAATGGTCGTTATTTTATATAGACATATCTTTTTCCAAACAATAAGAAAGTTGGTGACACTTTACAATAAGGTTTTATTAGTAAACATTAGTTAACTACTCAAGTTAACATGAATTAAGAATGAACAATACTTCTGCAGCATTTATTAATCTTAGTTCATGTTAATTTCAACATTTACTCACATTATTAAAATCATGTTATTTGTTAACATTAGTGAATGCACTGTGAACAACATGAACAAACAACGAACAGCTGGATTTAAATACTGTAACAAAAGCATTGCTCATTGTTAGTTCATGTTAGTTAATACATCAACTAATGTTAACAAATGAAACCTTATTGTAAAGTGTTACCAGAAAGTTTATTCTTTTATTTTATTTTGCCTCATAAAAGTTTGTTGCAAAAACTGTTTTCGTGTACTTTCACTGTTTTGTTTATTTCGTTTTTTTGCTGAGTTCTCAAGATGTGTAAAAACAGATACACCACATATACGGACAATAACATATACGTGACACATAATATGCAGTGCATGGCACAGAAATTCTCACAGACCCATAATTGTCACTGTTTTTTCTCTTTCTCGCTCTGTTTATGCTATCCATAGGGAACGATTGGTTTTCTAGAAAACACTGATAAACATACAACATCCACAAACACATCAGTGAATGCACAATACTGCATGTGCACAGTTAATGCCAAGACATGACAGATCGCAGGATGTTAGCATGGATATGTTTCCATACCCGAGGTTGGGAATCCTCTCCGCCATGCCAGTGATTCCGGCAATAATATTTCTGTGAGAGATCATGACTCCTTTTGGCACTCCAGTGGAGCCGCTGGTGTACATGATCACCGCCACATCAGAGGCACACGGAGACTGTCTCTGCCTCACCGCTGTGGAGGAGACATCAGAAGAAGTTACTACAAATGTCTAATTACATTCTGTTTATATAAAGGGATTATTCTATTAATCACAAGCATTCCAATTAGAATGCTTTACTGTGACAGAACAGAGCTTTGATCTCCTCAATGCTTATTTGTTGTGACATCATAGAGTAGTGCTTTAATCTCATAACTGTGCAACTGTAAAATCACAGACGAGACCTTTGTACTCTTGAGTGTTTAATTATAACATCGCAGAGCTTTGCCTTGATCTCCTGAGTGTGTAAATGTAAGATGATAATTTGACTAATTCCTTACTTTACCTGTCCAGCAAAATAAAATCAGTTTTATTCAGAATTTATTCCATTTTAACATATTATTAATACAGTTTCCACACCCTTTGACTCATGAATTTATATGACTTTTCCAATCATTATGATTAAAATTCATTTTATAGAGAGTTCAAGACAATTCAGTATTTTAGATCTGAGAATCTAAAAAACATGTACAGTATATTCACTACAGCAATTTCTATGACTCAATTTTCATGACATTTAACATGTTATTAAGTTTTCCAGGCCAGTTTTTATTCTGACTGTTTTCTTAAAGGAATAGCTAATCCAAAAATAAAAATGTACTCAATCTCATGTCAATCAAGGAGATGTTTTCTATATTTTTTATTTTAGTAATTTTAGTACTTCAACTTAAATATTTGTATTTCAATTAATTTGTATCTAGCTTTTTAAAGTTTAAGCTTTTCAGGTTTAAGTTTTTCATCAAATATTTATATTTTATTTCAGCTTTATTTCAATTAATAGTTTTGGCAAATAAAAACTACACTGGTTTGAAACTACAATTATTCGGTGAAAAACACATACAGTAACACTGCATATGAGGGGAGGATAGGTTGTAAACTTTAATTTATAGTTGTTTGAAGAATATTGATAAAGACTACCCAAGTAAAAATATAGTTGTATGTGTGAATGAATGAAATAAGATAAGAACAGGAAGTGGGGGTGAAATGTCAGTAGCAGAACAGAACGTTTTAGCTTTGAAAATGAGAATGCCATTTGAGCCGTTCCAAGATTTTAGAACCATAAATGTGGAACATGGGAATCGAGTGTGTACATTTGTGTGCATGAGTGTGTTTTAAGGGGCCAATGTGATTTAGCATTAGCACGCTGACACAGAACAGAGCGAATGTCATGTCGAGCCGAAGGAGGAAGATCAGCTCAATGTCATGTGAAGTCTGTGGCAGTGTGAGAAAACATGACCCGACACACACACATACACACTCTCCAGTGTGTGACGACGACTACTACTACCAGCTGTTGAGGGCTTCACAGAGAATTATAATGGAGGAAGTAAACGGCAGAGCGAAAGAGTCAGGGACACCCTCGACCCTGGCCTTAATTTGACACAGATGGAGGATTTCTCATTCACATGACCTGAAGCGACCTCATACACACACACACACACACACACACACACACACACACACACACACACACACACACACACTAGTACCATTCTCAGGAAGGGCCCCAAGTCTCTTCACAGCCGCCATGCTGTGGACACTGATGCCTCGTGGATATTCAGAGCTGCTGTTGAGCTTATCGTCAACTATGATGATATGTCGTAATCTCGGAACATCCAGCAAAATGTTCTGTGTGTCAAAATACAGACAGACAAAAACATTAGTGCATGTATTTAACTGCCATAATGTGATGTATTTCAGAACAAAATATAATATTCAGTATGAGGGATATGATTTATCTATTGGAATTTGGTTGGGTCATGTAAAGTAGGCTGTGATATACCCATGCGGTCTTAGTTAAGTCCAAGGGGTCAATGTTTGGCTAGTTAGCCCCTGCTGGTAGATGCTATAACTACTTTATCCTTTTCCAGCAACATATTTCGTTACATTAGATGTTTGTTTTTTAAGTCATATTAAATATATTTTTTTTTTATCTGAGTAAAACCAGTTAGATTACTACATAAAACGCTTTGTTGGTCAGGTTTTTGACTGCAGGAACTATAGTCCAGAGTGTCTGATCACCTTGAGTTTGGTTTCCAGAAGGTCTTTGCTTGTGATGATGTGGGAAACTTCAGTTTCATTGAGACCATGAGCAATAGCAGGACCTCCCAGAGTAGAGTAAAGAGTTACCACTGTAAAACACACATACACACACACGTTGGGTCTTCATGTTTTATGGGGACTTTAAAGAGACATCATGATTTTTATACTTTACAAACCGTATATTATATCCACTATCCCTAAACCTACCCATCACAGAAAACTTTCTGCAATTTTACATTTTCAAAAAACATCACTTAGTATGATTTATAAGCTGTTTTCCTCATGGGGACAAAAATGCCCCCCCAAGGACAAGGAATTTGGAGATTACCATCTTTGTGGACACACACACACACACACACACACACACACACACACACACACACACACACACACACACACACACACACACACACACACACACACACACACACACACACACACACACACACACACACACACACACACACACTCTCTCTATAGAGAGACAGCATTTATTTGAAATCTTTTATAACATTATAAATGTCTTTACCATCACTTTTAATCAATTTAGCTCTCCCAAAAAGTCTCCCAAACTTTTGGATGGCAATATATATCCATAACATTCAGTTGTATATATAAAACACACACCCACACACACATACTGTACACACACAAACACACACACACACACACACACACACACACACACACACACACACACACACACACACACACACACACACACACACACACACACACACACACACACACACACACACACACACACACACACACACACACACACACACACACACACACACACACACACACACACACTTTCCCCTTAAGTTTGAGCATGCAGTTGTGTAACTGTGTCAGTTGTCAGTAGCAGCAGCACGCATGGCTGTGAAAAGTTCAGGATGAGGGCAAAGAAGCACAAGCCAGAACACACATGCACAAACACACACAGTAAACAAAGCTAATCATGCACATATTAATAAATATTAATATAGAAGATATATGCACATTTTTGCACATGACAAACATATATGAAACAATCCATGTGCCTTGACTTTTGAGCTCATCCACAGACATAAACACACACTGACAAAAGCACACTGAGGACATAGGGGGTCCATGAGCTGCGTTCTGTGACATCATCAGTCTGCGTCACTGCCTGAGGGCGCGACACTTCAGCCGTGAGACACAAACAGAAAAGAGATCACCACGGAAACATCAACATGCACACACATGCGAATAAGCTTAAATGTGTAAGAGCACACACACACACACACACACAATTATCTGACATAAACGCATGAAACAATTCATGTTTGTGAAAATATGAACACACAGCTACTCTCTCTTACACACACACACACACACACACACACGTAGGCCGGATGACAACAAGTACGTGAGCATCTGATGTTGACAGGAACACCAGGGTGCAGAAGTCAGCCAAAGAGACATAGAAGTCTGTGTGTGTGTGTGTGTGTGTGTGAGACATTATGTGACAGACACGAGGGGGTGAATCTCATGATAACGTGTTTATGAACAATAAACAAAAAACAATAAAATAAACAAATAATATATACATTTATATTAGTTTATAAATTATTTGTATTATATACATACACACACACATAATTTACTGCATTATATATATATATACAATCTAAGTGTGATATAATGCATTATATTATGTATATACACACACATTTAATGTATTTTATTTATATATATATTTTTAGTATTTCACACAGAGTGTGTGTGTGTGTGTGAGAGAGTGTGTGTTTGAGTGAGTCCTTGTGGGGACATCCTTATTTTTGTGCTTGAGTGTGTGTTTAGGGATGACCCCAGACCTGAGAAAAATCACGTCGCCATCAGACACTTTAGAGGAAAATGAGAAGAAAAAAAGGAAGGCAAGGAAAAGAGAGAGAGGAGGAGGAGGAGGAGGATGGCGAGTTTATATAACAGCAGTGCAATGAGGACAATCTGACCTCCATACAAAATACACACACACACACACACACACAAACCTCTGTATTAGCCCCATGTGTGTCATAAACACAAATATGAAACAAATCTGGCTGGCTGGTCGAGATGTGCATGTGTTAACATGAACAACAGTGTCACATTGTGTGCCTATGTACCATGTTGTGTTTTCTATGATGCATAAATAAGTAAAATTGACTAAAGCTTAGAAATTCTGTCATTTCTGTAGAAAATGCCAGCTTTGACAATGTTAGGGCATTATGGGAAGTTGCCTGGGGGTTTCTATGCATTTGCAATTTTCTAAAAGATTTGAAGCATGTTGCAATGAGTTTGCACAATCTAAACAAGTATGTGCCGATTCTTTAAAAAAAAACATTTTTAATCCTCAAAGAATCCTATACCAACTCAAGTAACATAAACATCTAAAAAGCGCTTCTTGATAAGAAGGCTCTTTGCTGAACCCAAGAGATGTTCTTTGTTTTATACGTGTTCGTGTGACTCACATGGGAAGTTGTACATGAAACAGGCTTGCGCCGCTATGATCCACTCCTCTCTGGTCTCACAGATGATGGCAATGTTTTTCAGAGGTTTCTGTCCTAGAGAAGCCAAACCGCTCCCGAACGCTCTCACTTCTTTATACACCTGATCATACGTCATCCAGCGATACTCTCCCAAAATCACCTGCAGAGAAACAGAGAGTTTGAAAGGGTAATCAGGCCACTGGTCACCTGTTCAGTCCTTCAACTGGTTTCCCCCTGCCACTGTATCAGACTTTACAATTTTACAGATCAACAGCTCCTCCTATTGGTTCATTATATAGTTACAGTTTATATGGTTCATACATAGTCAACATTTCAGAAGCATTTTGTTTAATCTTTCTCCAAACGTTTGGTTACAATGTTAGGCACGTTTTTTTTTAAAGTTATAACATCACTTGTGTCCCACTTTATGCACTATACACTTTGCACAAATGCACTTATACACTGTGTAGTGTATGAACTTTATAAGGTTATTTTGTCTGAAAGCTCCTCCCTCTCTGCTACGTAACTAAAACTGTGACAGTTCAGAGCATGAAGTGTCCAACATTCATCCGGGAATTTCAAGAGCACTTTTTCCTTTTGGAATTTCCAGTGTGAACATTAGGGTCATAACTTTTTGACTATTTTTCAAATAAAAGATTTCCTGTATCATACATCGATGAACTTTTGCTTAAAAACGATGAAAAAGTCCCTAATTCCTTGAAGTTTAAAAAATGGGAACAACCATATAACAAACATTACTGCTTATATCATATTATATTACTGCTTAAACGAATATCAAAAAATATCAAGTTGAGTTGTTTGTTTATAAAGCTGGATTGTTCTTGAAAAAAACAGTTCTAGAAAGATCCAGAAAATTCTCAACAGTCCTAGAAAACTCCAGAAAGTTCTAAACAGTTCCAGAAAACTCCAGAAAATTCTAAACAGTTCCAGAAAACTCCAGAACGTTCTAAACAGTTCCAGAAAATTCCAGAAAGTTCTAAACAGTTCTAGAAAGTCACGAAGTGCTACTTATTAGCACACTTGTAGAAGTTACAAGCAGTAACTTTTGTTGTATGATTGTTCCTATTTTTTATCTGGGGTGACCTTTTTTTTTTAACTTCGAGGGATTAGGGCATTTTTCATTGTTGCAAGCAAAAGTTCATCGATTTATGATACAGGAAATCTTTTATTTGAAAAATTAGTCAAAAAGTTATAACAGTGAACACACTACTCACACTATTTATACTACAAAAAGGCATAGAATAGCGAATGGGGACACACCTATAGTTGTACATTTTAAACCCTCTGTCTGACCTTTACAATTAAAGATCTGGGTAATGTTGCTTAATAAAAAAAAAGTTAAAACTCTTCAAAATAGCAAGAAAAATCTGTTTTCTGATGTGATCAAGATTAATGTACTATGTAGACATACTTTAAATTTTACAAACACAAAGTATTATTATTATTGAGAACAGTATAATTCTTTTTTCTCTCCTGTTGTACTGCTATATAATACCCATGCCTCTTTGTAAGCATTTAAATGTAAAATTTGTGATGATTTTTTTTTGCACACAGGACAAATTAACTGGAAAATCCGTCCACAGTCTATATTTACACAGTATATTTCAGCATTTATGTATATCGATGCCTGTTCAGTATTCAGAAACTTAGCAAGGAAGTTCAAGTTGTCATTATTTTTACATCCAAACGATTTCTAGTCATTTACATAATAATAATATTGAAGATACAGATATAAAAGCAGCCTGATAAATTCAAAAGAGGATGGAAAATGGTCCCTTCAGGAGGAAAATAAAATGCATCAAAAGTGCATCAGGTATCAGGTTTGTGTTTTTGGATGTTCAAACCAGAATAGTGTACAAATAGAGCACTCTCTTAAACAATGTTAGAACAAAAGCAATACACCAAGCAGAAAGAAACACCCAGCAGCGGTTGTGTGGGATGCATAATCAAGCCCTTCATCTTGCACAACAGCAGCACATGTTTTGCAGCTTTAGTTAAGTAACAGCAGCAACACAGGAGAATATTATTACTATATGAGCTGCTCCAGCGCTGGACAATAGGATTACCATCAGAACTGAGAGATCATTCACATGCTGCAGGGCAGTTTGTTACAGGCTGGTTGACTTAAAGGGGTCATGACATGGAAAACAAGATTTTCTCTGTGCTTTTGAGTTTAATGTATTATGTAGACACATACACCCACGCAACACAAAACAAACCTCCCTTATTAGTCCACTCCACTCAGACCATTTATAAAGTTATCAAAACATGTGATTCAGAAATCATCACATTTATGACATCAGCTCATTAACTTTAGGCCCCATTTTTGAATATAGATTTTTTTATATTATCTTATGCTCATCAAGGCTGCATTAATTTGACCAAAAATACAGTCAAAACTGTATTATTGTGAAATATGATTATAATTTAAAGGGGTGGTTCAGGATTTTGGACATTGGGCCTCATTTCCAAGTTAGCCTGGGTGTTATTTATCAGTGGAGACAGTTTTCAAAACATTTCATCCAGTCGTTCCAGTTGCATAGTTTGCCAGTGCTAGGCTAGCGCGAGTCAACGGTATCTGCTAGCCTGCCATTAAAAACAGTTTTACCCACTCCACAGTACACCAAAAGCAAATAAATTATAACGCCAGTCGCCAGACTATCGATGTAAATGTCTGTTGAGAGAATAATGTTAGAAATCAAACTACCCTTTCATCGCATTGCAATAGTTATACTTTGTTCCCTGTATTTATTAGCACAGTCTAGAGGTCTGCTACCCGACCCGAGCCCGACGGGTCCCGAAAAATGTGCGGGTTTCGGGTCGGGTTCGGGTTAATGTTTAATGAACAGCCTCGGGTTCGGGTTTAACTAAGAAAAACTAAATAGGCTATATATAGTTTGCGTGCCGTGTGCTTTGCCTGCTTGCTGTGTTGTGGTGACCGGCACGCGAGAGAGAGAAAGTATATACGTGCGCAGATGTGCAATATGTGCATACACAGTCAGGCTCTCTCTCTCAAATATAATGATAATGATATATATACATATATATATATATAATTTTTTTTAATTATTTGTTTTATTTTATCATATCATTTATATCACAAAACTGTTTTGCGCATGTGCTACCGCTCTCGCGCGTATTTGCTGTGAGAAACAGAATGGACCTCGGGTTCGGGTCGGGTTCGGGCTTAATATGTAAATGTAATTGTCGGGTCGGGTTAAATGATTGCAGGTACGGGCCGGGTTCGGGCTTCAGTTTAAAGCCCGTGCAGACCTCTAGCACAGTCTACAGCAGCGGCGGAGTGATATTAACTTACCTAGGCAACCGAGAGAGAAAGTGAGAGAGAGAAAGAGAGAGAGAGAGAGAGAGCAGAATACCTGAGCTGTGTGAAAGAGCATAAAGTGAGAAAGACCCTAACCAGATACAGGCTGAGTGACCACAGTCTGGCTGTAGAGAGAGGCCGGCACCGGCAGAGATGGCAGCCGAGAGAGCAGAGACTGTGTTCTCAGAGAGAGGTGGAGACAGAAGAACACTTCCTCATACACTGCGATCACTATCAAAGCATTAGATTGGACTATTTCACTAGATTTCAACAGCTAGAACCAAATTTTATGGCATTGCCAAATTCTGAAAAATTAATTCATATTTTGGGAGAAAACTCTTGCTCAATCACAACAGCAGCAAAGTATGTAATAGCCTGCCACAAACTACGTGAGTCAGCCAGTGGACAAAACTAAAGTCTGAATGTTGGTTCAAAACTGTGTTTTTTTTTTATATATTTCATTTTGATTCATTATGATATAAATGTAATGTATTCATGCATTTGTTTACATTATTAATTTATTGATTATTTGTTCATTGCCTATGTAATGGCCAATGCTTTGGCAATACTGTATAAGTCATGCCAATAAAGCTCCTTTGAATTGAATTGAATTGAATTGAATTGAATTGAATTGAGAGGTAGAGAGAGGTAGTACAATTAAGTCCCGACTGTAGTGCGCTTCTGTTCCTAGTTTACTTTTCGGCAAAGTAAAATTCCGCCGCTGCTGAGAAACTAGTTCCTGTAAATGTAATGCGATCAGTGAGATGCAAGAGTAGTTTGATTTCTAACATTATTCTCTCAACAGACATTTACATCGATAGTCTGGCGACTGGCGTTATAATTTATTTGCTTTTGATGTACTGTGGAGTGGGTAAAACTGTTTTTAATGGCAGGCTAGCAGATACCGTTGACTCGCGCTAGCCTAGCACTGGCAAACTATGCAACTGGAAGGACTGGATGAAATTTTTGGAAAACTGTCTCCACTGATAAATAACACCCAGGCTAACTTGGAAATGAGGCCCGATGTCCAAAATCCTGAACCACCCCTTTAAGACAACTGTTTTCTATGTGAATATACTTTTAAGTGTAATTTTTTTTAGTAATGCTTTTATTCAGCAAGGATGCATTAAATTGATCAAAAGTGACAGTAAAGACATTTGCAATGTTAAAAAAAGATTTAAATAAAATAAATGCTGTTCTTGTCTTGAACTTTCTAAACATCAAAGAATTCTGAGGGAAAAAAAATGCATCACGGCTTCACAAAAATATTAAGCAGCAAAAAACTCTTTTTAACATTGATAATAATAAAAACAATTATTTTTAATGGCGCCCCAATAATAACTGAACAGCAAATCATCTTTTTAGAATGATTTCTGAAAGATCATGTGACACTGAAGACTGGAGTAATAATGCTTTAAATTCAGCTTTGATCACAGGAATAAATTACATTTTAAAATATATTCACATAGAAAAAAGTTGTCTTAAATTGTAATAATACTTCACTGTTTTTACTAGGGCTGGGTATTGACACAAATTTCACAATTCGATTCGATTTCGATTCACAAGCTTGCAATTCGATTCGATTCAATATTGATTATTTTGGATATCAGGTACAATACATGGCAAATTTTCTCAAGGAAAACAAATCTCTTAACTAATGCTGTAAACTATGGGAGTCAGTTGTAGCCTACTAGGCTTCATTAGCCTACTATAATATTGAAGGTAAAAATTAACTGATTTGTAGCTATACAAACACTTAAATTACACTTTTATTTATTTTTATATTAATAAAGTTATATGAAATATAAACATTTAAATGGTGGCTGTCATAAAAACTTGCCAGATTTATTCAAACATGCATTAAATATCGAAGAACATTAAAAATTATAATGAATATGTAATATGGTGCATATATTTAGCAAAATGCTCCTCTTTAGAGTTAATTTTTCTAGCTGACTAACGAGTTTATGGTTACATATGGTTTTTCTGAGATAAATGTGACGTTACATGACATTGTTTACAAGTTGAAACACTGATTGAGTGATTCCATGTGACATGATACGGATTTCGATAAGTTGTACTCTGTCTTTTAACACACTTTCAGACGTTCATTCATGTTTATTTTGCACTGTAACTGGTATTATTAAGGCAGAAGAGGAGATCATGTGCACTCCGCGCTGCTGTTTCTCTTGAGCTGAGCCAGAGCGATCTCACGCCACAGCGCCAAAACGGTATATGTTTTTGAATTTCGTAAGAAAATGGACGTAATTTGATAATTTATTTAGTATCAATAGTAACAAAGCACGAAGATTATTGCAATTTATTGGATGGGATGCGCGCTACAATGTTCCATTCATTCATCAAAAGAAAACAGGATGACTAATCGATTCTTGAGATTTAAGAATCGATATCGGTTCGTAAAAATGAGAATCGATTAATATCGAGAAATCGATATTTTTTACCCAGCCCTAGTTTTAACTAGCCTGACTACGTCAGACTTCCTACTTCCGCTAATTTCATTTCGCTCCTGTAGTCAGTCTGAGATAGCAGCCTATCTTTCTGTTTTCCACCGGCCTGAAAACAGCCTGGCCAATCAACGAACAGAGGGCGGGCTGAAAGCCGTGACGTAGTCGGTAAGCGCCGTGTTTAAGATTAGGTCAGGGAAATCGAAAACGACCGCTGATATGGAGACGCGGATGCAATTCGCTCTGTTGTGGAGAATATTCCCGGCATTAGCAAACTGAAGCCCGAACACGAAGAGTGTGTATTAAACATTTTGAATGGAGGTGATGTTGTGGCCCTACTCCCTTTGGGAAAAGTTTAATTTATCAACTATTACCGATCGTCAGCGAGAAACTGGGGAGCCTTTTGACAGGTCAGTGTCTCTTTTCTTTTCCAGGTCTTAAATACCGTAAAACTTCAAATAATAGCCCGGGCTTTTATTTGCCCAAATCGTCGAACTGCACCGGCTTGTACTTGAGATAGGCGTCTAACTTATATGAGACAGGCCTTTATAGTTGAGATGTTGTTCATTGAGATGTTGTTCCTAGAGTCTATAATCTCTAAAAAATCTCCAAATGCTCCACGTGAAACCGCGGTCTTCCGACCTCTTACTATCTTGTCGATTGATTTTTATGAATATGCGCGAGGGAGAGAGAGCAAGACAGCGCTCGTGTTGTTTGTAGACGTGGGAGTGCGCGCGCGCGGCCGGGTCTCTCTCTCTCTCTCTCTCTCTGCTCGTTTGTGCCCTGTCAAGCGCAGCAGTCATTCTATTACATCACTCACAGATCAAAAAAGTCGTTTACAGCCATGTTCACTCGGGTATTTCGCTCGCATCATCAAGTGTTTACAGTGGAAGTTCGATCATAGATTTGAGTTCGATGCATGATGTCTGTGGTTCGATGCGGCTGTGTCGGCGCATAACATACGTCATAAACAAACTTATCTGATTGGCTTACGGGTAACCAATGATTTTAAACTTCAGTACGCGCCCCCTAGCGAGAGAGAAAACACTTCTCTATTATGCTATCCCAGACTCTGTGTACGAAGCAAAGTGAAGTAGCAGAGTCTGGTATTACCAGGCTAAGTTTTAACTGCATTTTTGATCAAATAAATACAGCCTTGATGAGCAGAAGAGACTTCTTTCAAAAAACATTAAAAAATATTATGTAATATTAGTCTGGGTTTCCCCATACTGCCTTCCCGCAGCGCGATTTTATTCACGCTGAAAGGCGGTATGGATACCATGGACCAAATTTTCGCCTCATTTAGGGAACCAATCACAGAACGGGGAGGGAGCAGCAAGACGATGACGCGTCTATGCGACACACCGAAGCAGTTTGTTTATACCTATGGATCAAACATGGCAGTAGACGCGAAGTTACCTTTCGATGCAGCCTTACGGCCGTTTCACACATAGGTTTCACATCGCAAGCGTGAGCGGCATTTGAGCAGCGCGTCAGCGTAACATCATCACTGCAGCTGCAGACGCGCGAGAGTATTCACACTGGAAGCGTTTGTAAACAGTGTCACAGCAGCGGCTCCAAAGCTACATATCGTTAGCCTCATAGCATAATTGCTTAAGTCATTTTGTGTTTTTTCTTGTTTTCCAAAGACATTGAAATATGACTTCGGCATTATATATAAGCGAGCAATTCTTTACAAAGACAACTATACATTTGTTTTTAGAAGTTGGTCATTTTATAACATTGATAGTCTTGAAAGTTTGTAATGGGGAGGTGTACAACATTCGCATATAAGTTAAATGTAATACAACAAAACAACCCAGAAAATGGCTCCAATCTATTAGTTTCAGTCATACTTTCGATGTTTACAAGACCGCAACTCCGCGGATAAAAAACAAAACACACAAATAAACCACACACTCGGGTTTGATTTAAGTTGTGCTAGCCTGTAGCTGTCTGTGTGTTAACGTTACATGAACTAACGTTTATATATATTTTCTGGCTAGTTTACTTTAGTTTTTTTTAATTTATATAATACACAACTTTCACCCAAACTGAATAATTAAAAACAAGTTTTTACCGGGTAAATCTTCTATAAATATTTTAGAGTCTTTATTTTCTTTTATTTGCCTACTCAAGTTCTTGTTAAAACTTTTTGTGGCAATTTTTGTGTGAAATCACATTTATTTTTCTCCATCAAAATGGCCGATGGGTCAGAGATTTATGTGTAGCCTACACGATGGCATGTATCTAACGGCCGTTTCACACCGCATGCGTGAGCGGCGCGTATTTTTTTCGGCGTGCATGTTAATCAATGAGTGCATTCACACCGGGAGCAGCGCGTGAGCGTCGAGCAGGAGCGGCGCGTGAGCAGCAGTGAAGCGGGGTTTCGAATCTGTTTTTTGCTGGATTGCTCACGCTAAATTAAAGTGCTTAATGGGGGGGGGGGGGTACAAAAGCGTTGCTCTGCTCCTTCAACACATCCAAGACTTTTGAAGGACCGAAGCATAGCATGGACTTTCAGACGATACACACCTTCTTGAAGACTCTTCCATCCTCCTGACTTTCGTCTTCCTCGCTCAGCAACTCTCTGGTGCCCAGGCAGTCGAGGTCAGGATGGCGGCTTACGGTTGATTCAAACACTCGATCGAGTGTGTTCACCCCGGGCTGTAGGCACATTGCCAGCGCCCTCAGTGCTCCGACATCCCGGTACGGTCCCGACGGATGTGCGCTCAGGGAACGGCCTTTCACCCTCCGCGAACACTCGGAGAACGATTGCGATTCGGACGATCTCAGCAACAGGTACGGCAGGTAAGAGATGAGAGAATAAAGCCAAACCACCAATCTGAATATGACGACCACTACTGGACTCACATCCTGCTTCAGCCTCATACTGACAGAATGAAATAGAAAGTTATGATGTCACTTCCTCCTCTTCTTTTCTTCTCCTCTGCGATGTGTCAGTGAAGCTTTGTTTCTAAACAAGAAAAACAAGCAGTCAATCTTCCATGCTGTTAAACACACACACTAACACTGAACAGCATCAGAACATTCAAATGGTCATAAACCCAAAACCAAAAGATCATGGGCGATTACTTGTTTGATGGAAATTTCACAATTTCGACCCATTGGACCCCATCCGTGAGAGAGACAGATTTGGTAAATATAGAGGTGTGTAACGTCTAACAACAGCCCAGATTTCTGCACAAATCCAAAAGTGGGTGAAAGGTGACATTAAAACTAAGCATATGAATGAGTTTTTGTGAGTGTGGGTCAGATATTTTGAAGAATGTTGGTAACCAAACAGTTGACAAACCCTATTGACTTCCATAGTAGGTAAAAAAAAGAATACTATGGAAGTCAATGGGGTCCATCAACTGTCTGGTTCCCAAAATACTTTAAATATATTATTTTGTGTTCAACAGAAGAAAGAAACTCATACAGGTTTGGAACAACTTGAGGGTGAGTAAATGATGACAATTTTCATTTTTGGGTGAACAATCCCTTTAAAGTGACTTTGACTAAACTCATATGGTGTTATTTTTTGCATGGAACACAAAAGGAGATACAGTATATTCGCAAATACCGGAAGTAGCTAACCGCGGCCATATTGTTGACATGACAACTGTCCTGCCCCTAGCTAGCCGCGCGCAGATTTGAGTTGAGGGGAGCAGTAACGTTAGCCTAATGGCTTCGTCTCGTCGGTATCAAGAGAAGATAAGCTTGATTGGTGTGGACCCATATCAAATAGACCCAATAGCCTTAAAGCTCCAGTCCGTAACTTTTTTAAGTTAAAAATAATCCAAAATAATTATATTAAAAAAAACTTATTCTGCCAGTGGTCAAAACTATCTGCTTGCCATAGCTAGATTCAAAGCGGTTAGCTTGTAATAATGATTTTAATTCCAGTGGTACTGGTGGGTTTCCGCGGGAGATTCGAGCATGTCTTTGCGTCATGACGTCACACCCGTACACATAAAGAAGGAGTTTCGGCTAGCCGGCTATACTGCGAGTGACGAGATGTTTAGATGTATAGGCAGCAGCACTTTACATAATTAAACTTATGGCATCCAGAAAGATCCAAACAACAATCATCAGTGTCAACTGAAGATTCAGCAGTTATAATAAAACCCAAAAGACTTCGTACTTCGGATTTAAGGTGGCTAGAGAAAGAGAAAGAAACCGTCTCATGCGAACACAAGGATTTAAACATCGGCGGGGCTTTTGAAAAGTGCGTGAACTCCGTGTTTTGAAGGGGTTCAAAACGGAAGAAGAGACGGCTTTTTTCTGCTGAACAAGTAAGACATTTCAATAGTTCAATCGTGTAACAGTACGTTTTCTTAATTCACACAGTTATGGAGTTTCCTTTGTTGTACCTTTCTCGTTTTGCTATTATGGAGATTGCTATTTATAATTAATCTCTATTATGGAGATTGCTATTTATAATTAAATCTAACGAAGCTTATCATGTCGAATGCTTTTCCCCCTTAGTTGGTCAGAACAAAAATGGATTTTACTTACTTGTTCAGAAGACATTTTCTTATGAAAATTCTTATGTTGGTCAAACTTTCAAAAAGTGAATCTGTGATTCTGTATGACAGTATCCACACAGCGCGGTGACTGACAGCAGCACTCGCCTCAAAGCACTGTGTTCATCCGCGCTGTTTCATGCCGATTTACAACCCACGTAAAGATAATAATTCCGCGAATCACTGCAGTTACAGATTTCGAACAGAGAGATGGCGACAAAGAGGAAAAGATACGGACTGCAGCTTTAAGTAAAGATCCGTCCTTATTGCCAGCCGTAACGTATCCGGATATTTATATCTCGTTCATACAGTATCCGCATACACTTCGCAGGAGCTGAAGGCGCTGTAACAAAATAACACATCATACAAGCACTAATTCCCTACCTTAGTATCAATGCCAGCCCTATATGTTCATCGGTAAGCTACTGTAACTACTAACTGCAAATTACTGCATGATACTGAAACTCTCAGTGTAGGTATCAACTGTGTTTTGGGGATCTGGCTAACTTAAGCCCACAAAGGACAATATCGTATTAATACTAATTTAATAATTGTCTCAATTTATGGCAGCTTTCTCTATTTGAAAGAGCAGTTTCAGCCACTGCTTACAGCTAACCATATGTGATAAAATGATGGGAACAGACTTTGCTGTGGGGAGTTGGCTGAAAGTTTAGCCTATTTATCCTAGCTAGCCACAAGTCTCTCCTGCGCTGGCTCAACTCCTCTGTCTCCTTCCTTTCATGTTTTCTGACAGTCGGTATCGCATAAAAACTAACTTCGGGGTTCTTATTGCTGTTGTTGGAACAGCCTTGTATGACACAACACACCATCGCGCTGTTTAAAAAAAAAAATACAGCGATAATACCATGGATAATACCGACGCTGCCTCGCTTGTCAATTGACAGACTGCCGGTTGTCGTGGTTTCTATGTCAACAAAATGGCCGCCGCGAACATTGATGACGTAGATCGAATAACATACAATATAAAAATATAACTGTTTTCCATACTAGGACATTTTAAAGTGGAAAAACCCCCAACTTGTGTGCTTAATTCAAAGTCTTGATGAGCTTTGTGTGAGGAACTGACTGAAATTGAAGTCATTCTATCACTTTCCGCCAGAGATGACCAAGCTGCACTGTGATCAATCATGTGACACACAAGAACCAATGCAATTAGCCTTTAATGGCACTTGGTGCAACGTTCCTTTAAGCATGAATGAGAATTGTGAGGGGGAGATTATAAAGTGAATAACTACTTAATTTCATGAGTGAATAATGATATAATATACTTTTTTGGGGGGATGGTTATTCCTTTAAAATTAAAGATTGTCATTAATTAATTAAATGAATTGTTTGCATTCAGTAAGCTATTTTCTATGATAGTGTGGGCACTTCCGATTCATTTGCCACTATAGGTAAATAACGGGAAGAATAAAAAAATGCTTATGATCAAATAATTTGTGCTGCAAACCAGTATGTTTATGATTACGATAATTAATTAAATATGATAACAAAAACAGTTTGCTATATCAAGCAGCATAACGGACAGCTTTTTGTTTTTGTACAACTAATACAACTGGAACCGAAGCCTCGTCACAATCAAGTTACATGAAATTAAAATAGTAAAAAATAAATAAAAAACACATAATAAATTACTCAAATTAAACAAAAAAACCCTGAAAATATAAAAATGAAAAATAATTCAAAATATGAATATATTGAATAGTAAATATGTATGACATGAATGCATGGTTGGGGAAGTGGGGGGTTGTGTCACTGGTTGAAGCTGTCCGTGGTCCTGAAGCCACCCAGGTCCCTAAATTAAACCCTGTATTAATAATAATAAGATTTACATGTCTGTTTGACAATTAATAAAGAGGGACAAGGTGGATCATCTACCCAGGGCTAAAGAGCATAATCTGACATTGCAACATTAGCCTAATAACACAAGGGATCAATACATCGGATGGCTATTTTTGCCCATATTGTGACATCACAACCAGCCTCCCATGATTACATACAATCACAAAACACCTTAATACACTCTTAATAAGGAATGGTTCAATGGGGTTCTATATAGAACTATAGGGTAATGCCTAAATTTTGAAGAACCCTTTATGCCAAAAAGGTTCTATATAAGGAGAAATGTCTCAAATAACTGCATAGTACTTTCATGTTTAACAGGCTACTTCATTTTTTTCTCTCTAGTGAAGTGTTTATGAGCTGTTTAATACATAGAATTTATTTAAACTGAAGAATTAATTAAAACTAAATGAAGTATCTAATTAAAATCCATAAAATTATCATATGAAGCGCCTAACAGAACCCTTTAAGGCCCCTGTTCACATCAAGGACGATAACAATAACGATAAAAACAAATCGTTCTACAAATAAAAGAACAGCAGAGTCCACACCACAACTATAACGATAACGGCACATGGAAATTATATCGTTGGAATCACTTTTTGAACAATTTTTTCCAGCTGATGAACAACACAAACGTTGACAGTGAATCAAAATCCATCCTGCTTTAAAGGGTCATGAAACCCCCCTCTTTCAGCTCAAGTCTAGCTCACAATCTTTTTAAAAAATGCAACTTAAATGGGCGTGGATGGCTGTGAGAAGAAGGGAGGGGAGTGGGTGTGGTATGGCACGGCAGGGGAGAGGAGAGGGCAGGGCGGGATAACTGTCATTGGCCAGTGGCCCATGCATATCAACTGTCACTAAAAATCAGTGGTAAAACGTGAGGAAAAGCTAGATTTTTTATAGCTGGCAAAGTTAAAGTCTAATGAAATACACTGACATCTTATGTTTGTCCTTTCAAAAGTAACTGAATGCCCTGCAACATAGGCCTATATTAGCCTACACAGTAATCGTAATTCTATTTAAAATATATTAGTGTTCATGTACAATTATATTGTCATTATAAAATATATATTCACACTATACATGCATATATTTGAAAATAATTCATTTAAAATGATTATAAAGATATACTGCTCTTGCCTGGGTGAATTACTCGCTGAGTTTTGTTTAAGTTTAGAGACGTGCTCCCGAAAAAAAGTTCACGGAGACGGAGGCAGAAAGCACATCCTGTTTATTTTCTTTATTTTATAAAAGCACACAGTTTTGTTTCGATTGTAAGTGGACACATACAAAAGTAGACATTTAACAGTTTATTCTTTCATATTTCTTAAGTCTGTATGACCATAAATAACGGAGTATTTTAAGTCTATTTTGCTGCTACGTGAAAAAAATCCAGCAAAACGCGCCGGCGGGTTTGTCGACCCCAGAGGTTTAACAAAACTAAGGCAAGTAAAACGGTCAGGTTTACATTTTAGGCAACACACACACACACACACACACACACACACACACACACACACACACACACACACACACACACACACACACACCTCTGAAGGGATAGAAAAGTCCTCGGGACTTG